ACGCGGCGGCTCACGTGCCGCCGGGAGGAGCGCGCAGCCGCCCCCGGCCGCGAGGACGGCTGGCCCCGCCCCTTCGCCGGGGCCCCGCCCACCGCCACGTGCCGCGCCGGAGCGGGCCATTGCGGGAGACGAGGCCGGCCTGCTGCGGCTTGGCTCGCTTCCTCGAGCCCCTCAAGGTTTTCCGGGAAACCCAACCGGGCGCCAGCCGCGGAGGGCAGCAGGGCGAGTCCCCATGCCGCGAGAGCCCCTCTGCCCCCGAACGCGGCCGCCCGCTTGGCCCCGGCTCTCCCCCGGTTTTCTTTTCTTTTCTTTAGTTTTATCTCGAGCGTGGAGGCCTCCTGCAAGGGGCGGCGGGGGTCTGGCAGGCCATCCGGGATCCCCGCTGGGTGCCAAAGGATCGCTGGCGGAGCGGCGCCGCTGCTCTTTCCCGACGAGCCGTTCTCCTCATGGCTGTTCCGCTGCGGGAGCCAGACTCCCACCCGGGCCCCGGGCCCCGCCACTCTTCCCAGCCTGCCTCCGGGAGCGGCCCACGGCCGGGGTCGCGGCTCCGTGGCCAGCCCAGGCTCTCCCCGGTGCTCGGGCACGCACAGCCGTGGGACCGTCGGAGGGGCGGGGAAGGGCTGCCCCGTCCACAGGCAAAGCAGCAGGTTCCCACTCCTGGGATCCCCTCCGGGGAGACACACCTGGGCGTAGCTCCCGATCCGTGAACTGCCTGCCGCTCTGCCTGGGAGGAGCAGTCCGGACTTGTTCTCCCGGGGAAGACACGCCTCGCGTGGCCAAGGCCCAGTGGGAAGCACGTCGGAGCAGCCGGGCTTCCCTCGGGGCGGTCAGGCGGGGCAGGGCAGGGCAGGGGAGGGCAGGGGGGGCAGCCCGGGCCTGGGGGAGAGGACCAGCCCCTGGGGATCCACTGTCCATCCGTGGCCACAGCGTGGGCCACGTCCGTCCAGGGTGGCCTCCATGTCTCTACCACTGCGGAAAGGGGAATCGCTCAGGCAGGGCAGCTCGAGGGAGGCGGCAGCCCAGGAAGCGCAAGGGGGCCTGAAGCAGCCCCCCCCCCCCCCCCGGGGGTCCAACCCACCAGCCCCCCCGAGGGGCGGAGGAAGGGGGGGGGGGGGGCCCCCCCCCCCCCCCGAGAACTGTGCCTTCCGAGGAATGATTTGGGCTTCATCCCGGGGCACGGCCTCCGCTTGGGAATCGGCCCCTCCTGGCCCCGTCTCAGTGCCACCGCGGCTCGCGGCCAGCGCCCTCATCATCCGGTTGCCCTCCGCTGCCTCGCCGCGTCCGTTCGGAGGCCTCATGCCCGACCGCTTGACCGGGACCCCCCTCGACTCCCTCCCGCTGCGCCCCAAGCATGTGGGGCCGCAGCGCCCTGGGCTGGGATGCTGGGGGCCGCAGCCCAACCTTGCCGGGGGCCCCGGGTTGCGAGGGGCAGCTGCGAAGCCGCAGGTGACCCCTGCAAAGGGCAGCACGAGGGGCGGTCGCAGCCCGGGCACCCCGTCGCTCAGGCCCTGCAGCTCGTGGGGCCCACATGGCCTCACGCAACGTTCCCCTTCAGCCTCGGCCAAGCCGAAAGAAGGCGCAGGGCGAGGGGGGCTTTGGGCCACACGGCCGGTACGGGAAAGACCCCCTCCGGCCCACCGGAAGCGGAGCCGGCCGGTGCGTCGCGGTGCTTTCCTCGGATGCTCGGCCTGCGGAAGAGGTGGGGGTGCGGGCGACGTCCCGCTGCCTGGCCACAGAGGACGGCACGCCGAAGACTCCAGCTCGGCCATGCTTGCGGCTCGCAGGCCACTGACGGAGCGCGACGGGCCACGCCAAGCCACGCGGCCCGGAGCCTCGCCAGCCCAGGGCAGCGGCGGCGGCGGCTGGGGGCTCGGTGGGGACCGGGGAGATGGCCAGCGGACACGGTCCCCGGCAGGCGAGAGGAGCCGCGGTGCCTCCCGGGGGTGTGCTGAGCCCCGGCGAGCCTCCCGGGGCAGTGGCGTGTCCCGCCCGGGGCACACGTGACGTTCAAAGACTCCGACAATTTGTTCCTTTCGCAGTAAACACTTTATTGCCGCGCTAATTATTGTGATTAAGTGCCGTGCCAGGCCCGGCTTGCCACCTCCCCGGCTGCTTTTTCTGGTACGACGGGTGCCTTGAGGCCGCTCTGCGACAGGCGGTGCCGTGGCCCCCAGCCCCCGGTTTGCAGCCGAGCAGCTCCCTGGGGGCCCGGCCAGTGGGGCGCTCCGCACCGGGCCCGTTGTGGGGGTGTGGGGCAGGGCCCCCTCGCTGGGCAGCCCCGTGAGGGGGTAGCAAGAGGCGGACGGGCCCTTTGGAAGTCTGCTGGGGTGGGCCATCCGAGGAACAGCTGCGGTTTCCGGGACATGAATGCGGCCCCCCAAGGATGAAGGCCAGGCTGGGAGGGCTTCGGGCGGCAGGGCACAAACGGGAGCCCCTTCGGCCGTGCAGAAGGCCGGGCCGGGCCGGGCCGGGCGGCAGACGCATGCCCCGCTGCTTCAGGAGCCGTCAGGTGCCTCGCAAAGCAAACGCTTCTCTGGGTTCCCATGCAGCCTCCAGATATCATTGGCCTGCAAGTCCCATCAGCCCCAGCCAGCATAGGCCATGGGAGACTGTAGCCCCCGGGCACATGCTCCTCAGCCTGGGAGCTTCCGTGTGCTCCAGGACCTTGTGCCAAGAGTCGGGGCCACCACAGTGCCCCCCACCCCCAAGGACCCGTTCTCTGACAAGGGGCGGCCGACGTGGTGGGCAGAGTGGGGAGGGGGCGCAGGGAAGGAGCCCCTGGCCCTGGGAGCCCCACAAGCAAGGCGAGGCGACCCCAGAGGGCCCACCTGCCTGGCCCGCCACTCCTGGTCGCTTGGAGCCCTGAAGGGGGTGTGGGGCGGAAGGCCAGGGTGGGTGGGGTGGGGCGAGGCAGGGCAGAGGGCACGGGAGAGCACGGGCTGTTTGACTTCCTTCCTTCCTTCCTTCCTTCCTTCCTTCCTTCCTTCCTTCCTTCCTTCCCAAGCGCGATTCCTTCCCTCCATCCCGCATTCTGGTGGGATGCCTCCACCACGTCGCCCCTCGGTGCCTGGGAAGCTTGGGGGTGGGGGGCTCGGCTGGAGGGGAGCCAGGCGGGAAGCAGCAGGTGTGAGAAAGGGGACCCTTTGGGGGCAAGGGGAGGGGCGGGGGTGAGTGCCCCCCAGCAAGACTGTGATTTATGATGGCATGTTCTGTGCAGCGAGAGACGGTGGGGGCCGCAGAGGGGGGCGCTCCTCCACGCTCAGCAAGTCCTGTCAGGATGGCCCCGTGGCAACGGGACCGCTGGAAGGCGGGGGCATCGCTCCCTGCCCCCCCATCTCGCCCCAAGCTCACCACCCGCTCATGCCCTTTCCAAAGGGACACGCTCTCCCCTCCGTGCCTGGCCGGGGATCCCGGGCGCCTTTCTTCCACCCACATGGCACAGCCGCGCCCTCGCCTTTAAGGGGTTGCACGGGCCGCCTTGCTGAGCCCACAGGGCCTCTCGGCCAGCGACTGGGCTTGTGCCCCTCCAGATGCTGTGGCCGCCCCGTCCAAAGGATTCGGGGACGCGCCGTGTGCCGAGAACTCTGCCCCCACGGTCCCCAGGCGCCCTGGAGAGACAGCGACCCCAAGGTGGGATCCTGTTCTGAGCAGAGAGGGACCGTCCCTCCCAAATCCCGGGGGCCCAGGAGGAGCACTGGTTCAAGCCCCTAACCACTACACCGCGTTGCCTCTCCAACCCACGGGTGCTCCGCGATCGCTAGGAAAACCAGGTGTTCACAGGAGTCTTGCAAGACATTCCTGGGGGGGTGGGGGGATACCGAAAAGTACCCTTTGGGGTGGGGGGCCGGGGACACCCTCGCTCGCCCTCTGGCCGCATGCCGAACCTCGCCCCAGTGGGCAACTGAACCGCGCAGGTGCCAAGGTGCGACTCGGACGGGCCAGCTCAGCCCGAGGAACCCTGTGTTTAGCTGAGAGCGTCCCCAGAGTGGTGATTAGCGCCCTTTAATTGGGGGTTATTTCGGGCACCTGGCACCCGATCCGTGCACGCCGGCCTCCTCTTGCCACTTTGGGCACCTGGGCCCGGACCCCTCCCTTCGTAAAGGCGTGTGACTCAGCCCATAAACTTCCCTTCTCTCCTTCCCTGCTTCTCTCTGGCAAGGCAGAACCGGCCGCCGAGTCTTGCCGGGTCCAGGAGAGAAAGCTTGGCCCCGGGCCCTGCCGAGCTGCCAGGGGCCGTGCGAGCGCAGCAAGGGGGCTGGATCCAGGCCGGGGCGAGCGCAGCAAGGGGGCTGGATTCAGGCCGGGGCAGGGCCACTGGCCACCCCTCGCGGAGCGCCCCCCTGCCTCTTGCTCCGGCCCCTGCGAAAGAACCCCAAGCCACCGCTGTCCAAAGGAGTGTTTATTCCACCGAGCAAGAGCCCGGCTGTTCCCACGCCCGCTCGGACAAGCAGCCCCGGGGGCTTCCCGAGCGGCCCCGGCCTCGGGGGTCCTGCAGATGCCCCGCCAGGCCGGCAGGAGGGCGCCTGGAGGCGGGACCAGAGCCGGCGACGGGCGGGTTGCCGCGTCGGAGAGGCACGCCTGGCCCGGCCCGGCCCGGCCCAGCCCGGCGGTTCCCGTGCGCCCGAAGCCACACGCCAGCGGGGCCCGGCTGCTCGGGAGAAGCACACGGCCCGAGCACGTGCAAGACTGACGTCCCGACGGAGCCGGCCAGGCCAGGGGGCCGCTGCCGAGCCCTGGGCACCGCGCACCATCCTCTTCCTCCTCCATTCGCGGGGCAGCCCGATGGCTCTCTGCTCGGCCGCGGGAGCAGGCAGAGAGGCCCAGCGGGACCCAGGAGAAGGCCGTCCCGCCCTGCAGGGGGGACGTGCCCGCCCCGCTGATGCGCGAGGCCCGCAGCCGACCCCACGGCTGCGCTCCGGCTCTTCCTCCGGGGAGGCCGGTGGGGGCGCCGTCCGGCCACGCCGCTCGGCGCTGGAGAGCGTCCGGTCCGGTCGGCAAAGTCAGCACTGGAGCTGGGAGCTGTTGGCCCAGGAGGGGAACTGGTCCAGGCCGAACAAGGGGGTGCCCCAGGTGTTGATGGCGAGGGTGATGACCAGCACTCCTAAGAGGTTCAGCATGCAGCCCGCCTTGACCTGGGGGTGCGGGAGAGGAGCGCTGCAGGGGGCCGTGCCGGAGGCTGCCGCTCGGGGAGCCTTCCTGCCCGGCCCAGCCCCAGTGGGCCTCTGGTCCCGCTGCTTCCCAGTGCCTCGCCTCCGGAGGCAGACGGACAGCAGGCCCGGGGGCCCGGGGCACCCGCTCCACTGCCCACTGGTGATGCTGTTCCAGAAGCATCGGGATTTCTTATCTTGCTGCTCGGCCATAGAGGGTCCCGGAGCAGCACACACGTGCCCAGCAACACACGACCGCTCCCGCCCAACAGACACGACACATGAGGAAGAAGGCGCAGGGAGGGAGGAGGAGCACTGAGACCAAAGGCGGTGCTCACCATGTCGATGACGCGCAGCTTGCCGTAGGAGAAGACGATGGCGTTCGGAGGGGTGGCCACGGGCAGCATGAAGGCCAGCGAGGCGGCGAGCGTGCAGGGCAGCATCACGTACAGCGGGTTGAGGCAGATGGCCTGCGACTGGGGGCCGAGGGGCAGGCATGTCGGGGGTGTGGGTGCTGCCCAAGGGGCGTCTCTGGACCGGTTGGCTCCACTCGGTCCCGGGAAGAGGCTTCCCTCCCTGCCGCAGTGCCCACGAGGGACAGAGCTGGGCCCTGCTGGGCCAAGCAGCGGCTCCCCCCCCCCCCCAAGTGGCCAGAACGCGAGGCGCCCTGCGCGCAACGGCCCCGATCTGGCCCACTCCCAAGGAGACCGCAGGCGGCACGCGGGCAGTGGTGCCCAGCGGCCGCACCGCTTCCGCGTGCAGCCCGCCCCCCACCGGACGCAGGCCGCTGGCCGGCTGGCTCACCATGGAGGCCAGGATGGGCAGGAAGAGCGTGGTCGTGGCCACGTTGCTGGTGCACTCCGTGAAAACCGCCACCAGGAGGCACAGGAGGAAGGCGATGGCCGGGTGCGGGATGTTCTGCAGGGGGGTGAGCTTGCTGCCCAGCCAGCTGGACAGATGGGAGGCCTGGGGGGAGAGCGGGATCCGCCGTGGGACCGGGCCGGGTGGCGGAGCACGGCCGTGGCCCTCCGGCCCAGCGCCTCTGCCCGGGACTGAGCGGGCACGTCCCACGGGGGAGCGTGGCGCGGCCAGCTCGTGCCACGCTCCCCGGGCCCATCGGCCGAAGGCGGGGCAGCCCAGATAGCCTCCGGGGGCATTCCAGGCCCAATCCTCTGGGCGGGGCAACTCACACAGAAGCCCTTTGCAGGTGCTCAGAGGCTTGGCGAGACCGGCGGGCCGTCGCTGAGAACGGCGCCCAGGCCGCACCGGAGCGCAACAGCCAGAAGTGCCGGGCGGGGGCATCCGGATGCGCACAGAGCCCGGCAGCCCTGCCCTCTCTCAGGAATCCACCGCCATATTTCTGCTGGAAATATGACTCCTCGACCCTTCCCCATTTGGGGACCCCCCCCCGTAATCTTCCCGATTGACCTTTTGCTGGAGCACGGAGAGGGCCAATTTAAAGCGTGTCCGATCCCCCAGAGGCCCGTATCTCCTCGCAAAGCTAAGGCTCACGTGGGATTCTGCACATGTTTGAAAGAGCGATTCCCCCCCGCCAGCCCGAAAGGAGGGGCAGGGAGAACCTCTGACAAGCCTGCTGCCCACAGCACCCCCGCAAGAGTGCGAGGGCACTCCCCCACCCATGCTCCACAGCAGCTGCTGCGCACAGACACCCTGCACCCCGAGGCTGCCCAGCCTGCTTCTAAGGCTCTCCCCGCACTCGGCTCCAGGGTGTGTGCAGCCCCAACCGGTCGCCCCCGGGGCAGAGCTGCAGGCGAGGCGGCCAGCCTTAGCGCGGCGCGGCCGCCCCCTTGTGGCAAGCAAGCGCCACTGCGGGCAGAGTCCAGGCAGCGCTGGCCAGGGGCCGGGGGCTTCGACTGCCGCAGCTGAGGGTCTCCTGCCTTCGCAGCCTCGGCTCCCTCGGGACGCCGCCCCCGGCAACCCTGCCCCCTCCAGGGCAGCACGATGGGGCTTTAGCTAAGAGCCCAGGGCGAGGGAGCCCCCGGAGAAGCCGGGGTCGGGCCTGGCCGCTCTGCAGCCCCCGGCCGGCCGTCTCCCCTCGTGCCGTTTGGTGGCCCCGGGGACAAGGAGCCCCCCGCCCCCCGGAGGCCCTGCCGCAGCATCACCTCGCTGCCCTTGGCCAGGGCGAAGCCCCCTCCCAGGAGCAAGACGATGTTCCAGGGCATCTTCTGGTTGACCGTCTGCCAGTCCAGGAGGGGCGGCGGGACCCGGACATGCCCGGAGCTTCCTGGAGGCAAAGGCAGCCCGTGAGAAGTGGGGCGGGGGGGGCACCCTTCGCGGCACTGGGAAGGCGAGAGATGCGACAGGGCAGCACCGGAAGCCGCCAGCTTATCCTGGCCTCCAACTGCCAGGAATAAAACCTCAGGAGAAACTCTCGGCTTTCCAAAAAGGGGGGCCCCCAGCCATTGTGGTTTGGGGAAAGCGAGCAGGGCCGGGAAGTGGTGTGGCTGGCCGGAGGGCCCCCCAGCTCCGCACCTCTGGAGTAAAAGGCCTTCCATCTCAGGCACGCCGCCAGCCCAGAGCGGTCCGCTCGCACGGAGGCAGAGCCCTGGTGGCTCTCCAGAGCCGTGGGGCTGGTCCCGCTCTCCAAGGAAGGCTTCTCAGAAGGGGTGGGAGCCGCCGGAAGCGCCGGGAAGTACCTGCCCCGGCAGGGCAAGAGGCAGGAAGGGGAAACGGGGGCCGAACGAGCAGCTGCCCTTCCGAGTCATCTCAGCCACGCAGCTCCCCCGTGGAGACCACCCCGGGTTCCCCCACCCCAGGCACCTTCTGGCCGCCACTCGCCTCTCGGGGGGCCGCAGGTGGGGATCTCCGAAGGGATGAGAAACATCAGCAGCGAGATGAAGATGACGACGGTCGCATCGGTGATGTAACTGTGGGGGGAAAGGGGAACTGAGCCGGCTGTGTGGAGATCAGAGGGGTCCAAAGTAGGGCTCAGGCCGGCCTCCGAAAAGGGGCCCTCCTGGGCGGGGACTCGTGGGCGGTGGCCCCACTCACCTCTCCCTGTCCTTGCCAAAAATGAAGCCCGCCCAGCCGGGCATGAAGCCGGGCTCCCTCGTGAACCAGAGCAGCACCAGGATGAAGAAGAGGATCAGGACAGTGACCTCGGAGAACTTCATGCGGCCCAGGGCCCGGTGCTCACCCCGGATGACCTCGTACGCCCTGGCCGAGCTCGACTTCTCTGCCTCGCTGGCGCCGCAGCCAAAGGTCTTCCTGAAGCTGGGAACGCGGGAGACGAAAGGCAGGAGCCGGGCGTCCTGCCGGGAGTCGCCGGACCAAGAGGCCGTGTCCCCTCCGAAGTGGTGCCTCGGACCGGGGCTTCCAGGCTGGCCCTGCCGGGTCCCCGGGAGGCCCCCCACCCCTTTCTCCAGCCGCTTCCGGAGCGCGGCCTTCCCGGCCACGGATGTGCGGGGCCAGGACCCCCCGATCCCCCACAGCCTGCCCCCCCGCACAGCAGAGACTTACTTGGTGCCCAGGAAGAGCAGCAGCAGCCACAGCCAGGAGAAGACGAGCAGCAGCACCATGGTTGGGAAGGCGAAGCTGAACCAGGAGGCGAAGTTCACCACATTGCCGTTGCCGGGGAAAAGCCTGGGGGGGGGGGAACGGGGGCCCTGAGAGGTGCTGGGGAGGCGCCGTGCCCAAAGAGGGGGCCGTCTTCCGGCGGGAGGACTGTCCTCCGCCAAGCAGGGCGCACGGCCACCCCGGTGATGGCGAGCAGGGCCTTCCCTGTGCCGGCACCCTCGTCGGCCAAGCCCTCGCGTGAAGCGGCCGACCGGCTGGCAGCCGGCACTGCCTCCCCCGCACGCCGGCCGCCGGGCACTCACTCGTCCATCTGCCCCTTCATCACCAGGTTGGGGCTGGTGCCCGTCAGGGTGGCGATGCCGCCGATGCTGGCCGAGTAGCAGACGGCCAGGCTCATGCCCTTGCTCAGCGTCAGGTGCTTCTGCTCCAGCCGCCGCTGCGCCTCTGCCGCCTGCGGGTCCTCGTCCGGCTGCTTCGCCTTCTCCACGGTCACCACGGGCACGGGAGCTGAGCGTTGGGGGGCAGCAAAGACAGCGGCGGGGAGGGGCGTTGCCGGGCGTGAGCGGGGGGTGGCACTCGCGTGAGCCCACGTGGCCCAGCGGCTCGAGCAGGGAAGCGCTCGCCGCAAGCGTGCCAGCGATGCTTCCCCGGGAATGAGTTTCCGTTTCTCCTCCTCCCTCCCAACCCGCTTTCCTTTTGTGCTGTTTCTTGTAGCGTGTAAGCCTGCAGGTGGGGACTGTCCTATTTCTCGCAGGAGTTGCTGGGCCCACAGTGACTCTGGGGAGGGGGCCCCGCCGCTTCCCACGCCCCCTACCTGGCGGGCAGGGCTTCTCCTGCAGCTCGAAGGCCTTATTGAGGCTGCCGTTGCGGGAGGGCGCTGGCTGGCGGGGCGCCCCGCTCTCCTGCTCCGACTTGTGCAGCTGGTCCAGCACGGCCTGGGCGATTGGCACCATCATGGCGGTGGTGGCCGTGTTGCTGATCCACATGGACAGGAAGGCCGTGACACCCATGAAGCCCATCATCAGCCTGTGGGGGGGGCGGGGGGGGCCTGGGTCAGGCGGGCGCCCCGGCTCCCCCGCCTCGCCTGCGCCAGGGTGCGCCGGGCTCCCCATGGAACAGGGCGCTTGGGCACGGGGCGGGCGGGGAGGGGCCCGGGGCAGGGACACGTGGGAAGCCCCCGGGGCACCCCGGGGCAGCCCCGGCTGGCCGGCTCGTGGCACGGGGGGCCGCGGGACTCACAGGCCAGGCCGCACGCCCACGATCAGCAGGACGCGCAGGGCGATGCGCCGGTGCAGGTCCCAGCGCTCCACCGCGATGGCCACCAGCAGCCCCCCGATGAAGAGCATGTTGGTGTCCTTCAGGTACTCCTTGCACACCTGCGGGGAGGGCGGGGCTGCTCTGAGGCTCCGCCCACCAGGCCCCGCCTCCTCACCTCACCTGGTGACACCCCCCCGGCCCACTCCCCGCCAGCCAGTCCCAGTTTCCAGGACCAGTTCCAGAAAGAGAAAGAAACGCAGGCGGGGGGACCCAGGGGGGGCGGCAGGGGGAATCCCCCCGCCCGCCCAGGGGTCCCCAGAGCGAGCGGCTCCTCGGGGCCCTGCCCGTTTTCCTCTGGGGATGCCCCCGGACGGCAGGCGGCCAGGAAGGGGCCCTGCAGGGGATGCGGGCCGTGGTCCTCGCGGGCCGCCCAGGGGCCCCCCGGCGTCTCCCGCTGCCCCCCGCCTCGGCCTTTGCCGGCCGCCCCTTACCGTGGTGGAGTCCATGATGCCCATGAGCGGGAAGAAGAGGACGGGGATGAGGGCTGTGACGGCCAGGGGCAAGGCCTCGGTGCACCAGAGCAGTGCCATGACGATGATGGTGTACCCGCATTGTGCCTCCTGGGGAGAGCAGAGCACAGGGGGTCTGCGGCACCGTCTGCGTGAGCGGGACCCACCGCCCCCTTGCCCCGTCCTCCTTCCAGCCCGTTCCTCGCAAGAACAGGCCGCCTTTCCCGCTGGCGAGCCGTCGAGGCGGCACAGGCCCTTCCAAGCGACGAAACTCGGCCGCGATCGGAGCCGGAAGGAGCCTCCGCGGTTTAAAGAGCCGCTCTGAAAAGATGCTCTCAAAGACGGAGCAAGAGGGTCCGATGGCCGGGCGAGGCCCCTTCGCACTGCATCGGGCCGAGGGTCCGTCACGAGCCCGAGCGCCACGGCACACGCCCCCCGTCCAGGAGGTGCCCTCCGCCACCTCTTCCATCCCTTCCCTTCCCACGAAATCCTCTGCCGGCGAGATCCACGGCACCAGAGCCGCACCCGGTCGGGCTCCTCGAGGGGGAGAGGTTAACTGTGCCATTTAAAGTGTAACTTTTTGGCGTTGCCCAAGGGCGAGATCGCGGCAGAGCCAGGCTTAAACATTGATAGCCGGGCTTCCCACGCTCCCTTGTGAAAGGCGCAAGCTGCGGAGAGCGCCTGTTTTGGCATCCGCGCGAAAACGGTCCTGCTTTGGGAGTTCGGGATTCTTTGGATCTTAAAATGTATTCATGTGCCTACCCCCCTCCTCTTTCTACTGCTGAGACGGTTAGCAATTTGGGGGAAGCAGAGCAGCATTTCTGCCCTTCCGATTTGCGAGTTTTCGCTGTTCCGCAGTCCTGCAGTGCCCCCGAGAGGCTCCGCAACGGAAAAACCCTTGTGCCAGAAATAAATACAGCGCTGGGATTAAGCACCTTGTGCAGAAAGGACCAACATTTTCCCCCAAAGGAGGGTGCTGCTCAGCACGCAGCTTTGCAGGAGCCGTTTCTCAGACGCAGGGAGAAGGATCCTCGGAAAGGGTTTAATCCTGCCACTGAAGCAGTGCTGGTTTTAGGAGACCCCTTGTGCAATTGGGTATATTTAGGAAGCAGCAGAGGGCCGGGAATCCACAGCCTGGACCCTGCACAGCTGCCCACCCTCCGCGGCAAACACGACCGGCAGAAAGTCACGTCGCCGTGTCTCCTTCGGGTGCACCCCGAGGCTGGGGTGCTTCTGCAAAGCCGCCGACTCCGGCTGGCCCACGTCCTCCGTGGACGAATCCATGCGGGTGGGCAAGGAAGCACAGACTGGCGAGCCGAAGAGGCAAGCCCACACCCAGGCCAGCCGGCTTGTCTCCTCGGCGCGGCCGGAAAGGAGCCCGTGGACCCTTCGGCTCGCCCGATTTTCGCCGTGGTCACCCCAAAGCGGCCGCCGCTTGCTGACTCGTGGTCTCGGGGCTGCGTCGGACACGCGGCATCCGAAGCATGCGTCAGACGGAGCGCATTTGCTCCACCCGCCTGGGGGCCGCTCGGTGCCAGAGACCCACACGAGGGGAGGGTGCCCCCTTCCACCCTTCGGCTGCATTCCCGGCCCGCGGGGCCCTGAAGCCAGCACGGGGCTGAGCGGGTCCGCTTCTGAGCAGCTTTTGGATGCCGGGAGGGCTCAGAAGGGCCCCCACGGCGGCGCTGGGAAGCCCCCAGGCGTGGGAAGCAGGATGCCGTACCTTGTAAGGGAGCGCCAGGGGCAGAGGCAGGAAGAGCAGCGGGGTCAGCAGCGTGATCAGGTAGTTCCTGTGAGCCAAGAGCGCCCTCCACATGGTGCCGGCGCTGCCCTTGCGGAGCCTGGGTGAAGAGGAGCCGGCCCTGGGCTCCGAGCCGTATTTAAGGCCTCCGGAGCGCCCTCGGTGGACCTTGGCACCCAGCTGGCTGCCAAGAACCGAGCCCGGAGCGCGAGAATGAGGAGCCGCCGAGCAGGGAGGCGGGACGGGGGAGCCCTCCTGCCCGGGACGAAGTCACTTTGGCAGCCGAAGCGTTCATTCCTCGGTTCCTCCCAGCTGCTCGCTCGCTTGCTCGCTCGGTGACTCAAAAGCAAACATCTTGTTCCCCAGGTTGTGCTGGCCAAGCCACCTCCCGCTGCCGCATCGGGCTGCCTCGCAAGCCCAGGCCTCTCCCCGGGCGGGCTCTCTGGAGGCGCAGGGCCAGCGTCCGAGGTCCCTCGGCTCTCCCGCCGCCGCTTTCCCTGGTTTGGCCACGGCTGTGCTGAGTTGCTTTCAGTGAGACAGTAAGAAGCCCGCGCGACTCTGCAGCCCATGAGAGCTCAGCACTGCGACCCCAGAATGTCACAATACAGACTAGGACCCTGCTCCTGCCGCTCCAGGGCCATGCATTGGGCTACAAATCATGCATTGGGCTACAGCAGTAAACATTCGGTAAGGTGCTAGTCCTCATGATTCCGAGCGAAGGACCCACTTTCACATGGAAATAACATCAGAATCTGGCCCATTTAGCGTCATGCTGGCAGCAGCTCTGCTGGGAAATGTGGATGATGAAACATGGAGCCTTCTGCTGGCAAAACATGCATTGGGCTACTGAAGTAAACGTTCCAGTAAGGTGCTAGTCCTCATGATTCTGAGTGAAGGGCCCACTCTCACAGGAATACGGGAAGCCGCCACACTGTGGCTAAGTGGTTCTGCTTTGCATAAGGGAAGGGCCAGTCCTGACTTGCATGGCAGTTGTGCAATTAAATGCAAACGAGGGCCTTGGAACCCGCTTTGGGCCCTTGCAAGAGGAAAAAAGCAGGGCAGAAATGTAGCCACGCACAAATACATTCTGCCTGATCGCCACCGAAGGCCCAAGCGCTTTTTATCGACTTCCGGCTTCCCGGTGCTGCACGGCAAGGGTATACAGCCCGGCCTCACTCATGCGCCAAATCGGCTCGGCGCTGCCAGCAAACCCGAAAAAGCCGGGCCAGAAAACCAAAGACAAGCTCGGAGTGCGTTGGGAGATCATTGCGGAGATGTGCAAACATTTTGTGGCACGGAGGCTGCCAGCTTTTCTCATTGCCCCTGCTCCTCTGTGCCTGCAGAAACGGCAGGGCGGAGGCTTTCCGGGGTGGCTGCACCCCAGAGAGAACGACGCCTCTTTCCCAGCACGGCAGGTTGGCGCTCGCGGCGGCACAAGAGGAGAGGCACTCGGGAAAAAGAGAGCTGTTGGCAGCCTCGCACGGGCCTTGGCATCCCACGGACTCTCCAGGTTCTCTCTCCGAGCGGATCCTTCTGCCGTCAGCTGTTTCTCGGAGGGGGAAGAGAAACTGGGGTGTTACGTGAGTTCACAGAGCCATAAAAAAACAAACCGACCCGCAATAATTAATCCGCGAAACAGCAGAGGCGATCACATCTCTCCCGTGCTTGGCTGAGGGCCAGTCCCAACAGGCAGAACGGAGAGATCTTTGCGGATCTACAATTACTGTGTGAATTGCGGCTACCGAGCAGGAAGTTGGAGCGTGGCCAGTTCAGTGGCCATCTCACAGGGCGGGGGGGTCATGCTTTCCACGCTCTCCCAGCAGGCCTTCCGAAATTCAGCCTTGAAGAACCATCACGGTGCTCATGACTCATGACTGCATGCATTTATATCCTAATTTTACTGTGCCAGAGGTATTCCTCAGAATATTGTATTATTTTATTTAAAACATTTCTATGCCGCCCCCATCGCAACAAAGCCTCGGGGTGGCTCACAACAAACACCAGCTTAGCTGGCACCGGGCCCCAGTGACCCCAGGAATTGGCTCCGTGGCCAGGCGGGGAACAGAGCCCGGGTCTCCGGAACACCTGGCCAACGCTCTAACCACTAGGCCAGGCTGGCACTCCCCGACTTGGGAGCACCTCACCCCGAACCTCGTGGGGAGGACCTCTGGGTTACCAGGCTCGGCGTCAGGCCTCGCCCGCCGTCACGGAAAGCTGTGCCAGCCAGAACCCACCCCGGGGGAATTTGCATCCCCTGGCAGGCCTCGCTCCGTTCAAAGGCGCCTTCTGAACTTCGGCCGCTTATGTGGAACTCCTGCACCGCTGCAGCGATGATCATGGGGCTGTTCTTGCCAAGCCGCGGCCTGCCTTTCCCAGATCCATCGGGCAGGCCTGCGGCGCTCCCAGGGACGAGCCCACCTGGCCGGTCCATCTCCGTTTTGCCAGGCGTTTTGCAAGGCCGAGCCACGTGCAGCCCGAAGGCGGCCTCGGCCTCGGGAGGGGGAGCGTCTCCCTTCACCAGAGGCATTTCGGCAAAGGCATCTCGCCGTTTCTGCAAGATCTCCGCTCTTATTTATTCACCAGATTTACGCCCCACCTCTCCCTCGCAAGGAGCCCGAAGCAGCTTGGATCACCCCCGCTGCTCTCCAGAACAGCAACCCTGCGAGGTAGGCCAGGCCGCACATCTGTGACTGGCCCCAAGTCACCCCGTTGGCCCCGCAGCGGAGTGGGGAGCAGAACCAGGCTCGCTGCGGTCCCCGTCCCCTTCCCCACGACACCGCCCTGGCTCTCCCTGCCGGCCGAGATGGGACGGCCTCCAAGGGCCTCTCCGACTTAATGATTCTCCAGTGGCCCCTCCTCCTCTTTCAAGTTAAGAGGCATCATCCAGAGTTCATCCTAAGTCCTAAGTCCTGGCATCATCCAGAGTTCACCCCTGGGGTTCACACAGCCGCTTCCTTCTCCTGGCAAAGCAGCAATCGATGCCTTTGTCCCACACAGCAGTTAAGATCCCCGGCGACGCTCCTGCCCAGCGAGCCACAATTAGGGTCATAAATGAAAATGGTAATGATAAAATAATAACAACAAGGGCGACGCTGGGTCGATGGCCAGCACGTGGCTGATTCCAGCCTGCTCAGAGCCAGGCCTTTGTTTTCAGGCGGTCCCAGGGCCAATGTGCCAGAGCAATAGCCCCCCCTTCACACACACACACCCCTCTCCCACCTGCCGCAGATCGGAGGCAAGGCAAGGAGCGCACAGCCGCAACCGGAGAGGGTCTTCCTAGCAGTGAACCTTGCCGTGCGACCGACCGCAGGCCCGGTAATTTCTTCCTGGCACCGTTTGCATTTCCAAGCACTTCGAGACCAAACCCACAGGATGCAGCAAAAGCCCTTCCTCGCGATTTCTGTTGATGCACGTGCAATTTTCTCGACTAACTCGCGGAAGAAACCCATGAAAAACAGATGAATCATTATCCTTCGGTTCGCATCAGGCTTGCTGGTTAACCAGCTGCCGGGGCAAACAGAGAGCGCCCCAAAGCGCGAGAGCCGGGCTCGGGGCATGGGCTGGCAGGGCTGGGCCCCACGAGAGCTCAGGCCAAGCGCAATCCGGAAGCTTCACACGCCCAGAGGCACTGCAGCTTTCCCAAGCCGGTGCCTGGACTACAACCCCAATTAGGTGGCGGCCGCGACCTTCCCCAGAGAGCCCTCCCCTCTGGGGGCACTGACCGAAATGCTACCACCGGTGTGACCCACGGAGGCGCGGGTGTGCCAGGAGGGTGTACACGTTGTGCCGCGGGGTGGGGGGGGGAGGGATGTGCCGAGGCGGGAGCTCCATCCCGAGCCCGGGCGAGTTCCGCCCCACCAGCCCTGAGGACGATGCCTGCCTGCCTTCCTCCTCCCTCCCCGTCCCCTTTCCTCGCGCATCTGCCGGACTGTGAGCCCGCAGGCAGAGAAGCCCCTTGCTTCGAGAAATGCCTGGAGCGACGTGCAGCGGCGCTCGGGGGGAGCAGGCCCCCGAGGGCGGGCGACCCCCCCGGGAAAGGGGGCGCTGGGGGGCGGTCTGGGGCAGCCCCCCGGCGAACAAGCCAAGGGCGCGTCCCGGGCGCGCCAGAAAGGGGCACGCGAGGAGGGGACGCACGCGGGGGCGGCTGCCCTCCCCGCCCCCGTCCTCGGGCGGCCGCGCCCCCCCGGCAGGCCCGCCCCACACGCGAGGGGCCGCACGGCGACCGCGCACAGCGGCCGCGCAACGCTCGCGGGGGAGCCGGGCGGGC